GGCTTCTTGGCGGCGGCCTGGGCGGCGGGGGCCGCGACAGCGGGAGCAGCGGCGGGAGCGGTCTCCGACATCGCGGCAGAGACTTCTTCCTAATCAAAAGAGAGTAATTGGGCTACAGTAACCCCGATGCCTGAATTTATAGCGAAGCGGTGATCTGTGATTGGTGCTTTGCAGAGCCCGCCTAACTGTTAGCCAGGAAGAGCTTTTCGTCCTCCGAGTCTGTGTTTCTTCGGAGTTATAAATTCATATTTTTTATAAAATGCGTGCCACGAAATCACCCTAGTTTCTTCAGGGAGTGAAGAGAAGACGGTGGACTTTCATTCGGGGGAGTTTCTTGCTTTTGGGACCCCAGATGAGAGAGAAAAGATGCGTTTAATCGCAGGTCGTGAAGCCAGAGAGACCCCGGGAACTGCAAACTTTTGTTTTTCCTTCTAAATTAAAATAAAACCCGTAGATTAAAAGACTCCCCCGTACTGCAGTCTTATTCTTTAGGGGGTTTTCTCCAGATTAGGATAGAAACCGAGGGGGCAGCTTCAGTATTTTTGTCATAAATTGATTTCAAAGAGAAGGAAGTAACACACTTTCATGGCTGAGCTTTGAATATGGATAAAGATTCGGCTCCCTTAACCATATCTGTAACTATTAAGGATACAGTATTTCTACAGAATTTCGTGGTTTGGGGAAATAAGAGAACTTCAGAGGACTATGTATACTGTTGAAAAGTGTCTGGAACTTACCAGGACTCTGCATATTTTGTGGTGTTCTTTAAGTGAGTAGCAAGATTTTGATGTTTTTACAAATAGTTTATGTTTATAAAATGAAGCTGTCACTGCTTAGTTAATGCATATAAATGCCAGATAAACTGCTAGTTTAATACTTTCTCAGTGATAGTAGTGTGTACTTTTATTCTTTATGCCTTACAGAAATCTAAATCAGACTTGTAGGGGAAAAATGACAAGTATAGATACACTAATGTGTATTGCATACTACTTAAACACTTATGGATCCAAATGAAGCCTCGATTCTCCCCAGATAAATTAAATAATGTAGAAATCTGGCCTGGGTGAACAGAATGCTTCAGCCTCAATATTACCTACAAATATCTGGACACGGATTGTTATTGTTTGGGGTTTTTAAAATGCATTTCATAAAACTGCCGTTTTCTTCTTTAAACGAAAAGAAAAACATTCAACAATTTAAGTTTTCATCCAAATCCTCATAATATTGAAATAATTTTCAGACAATCCTCATAAATCAGAATCAGCTTTAATTATTTTGATGCCACCTAATTTTTAAGTTTCAGAAAGTGACAACAGAAATGAATTACTTTTTTTTTAAGGACTGCTACAATTTTTTTGAGATAGTTTTCTCTTACATCTGAAGACAAAAGCCTTGATTGACCTCCAGTTAAAAAGCAAGACCTTGTTTCGTGGTTGAAAAGAACAAATTAAGCATAAACCTAATATTTCGTCTAATTGTAAAATCTCATCATGCAAAAGGCCAGTGTGCTAGTTCAGCAAAGGAGCGGATGAATTTGAGATTCTAGAGGACAAGTAGTATGTTGCAAAAGGCCTTGGCATTTATTTTCATACATTAAATGTTGAAAATACAATTAAATTATACTTAATAGTAAGGAGTTTTAGTTGAAACGAGATAGATTAAAATGGCAAGGATAAATGCCTTACAATACATTAGAATAACAAAAGTGAAAACAAGAAACTGTCACTTTTTCATTTTGCCTTTGAGTTCTATTTTTATTTTGTTGTGTCTGCATGCAGGCCGGCTAATAAATAGTTTGGAGAGGAGAAGAGGAAGGAAAAAAATTACATTTTTCAGTATTCCACGGTAAAAAACAGCCTGAAAAATGTACTGAAGTGGGGTGTGAACTGCCACACTTCTCCTGAATGTGACGTAGTTCCCACATGAGCAACTGGACCAAATCCTCAGTAGTCAGAGAACTCAGGCTGGTAACTCAAATGAACAGTAGGAATATTTTTCTGAGGGATAAAAAGGCAGTTACTGTTAGCAAGATGAGGGCATTATACTTATTTTCCAGGATAAGTGGATAGAGATGGGCAGAAAGCAGAAACAGGCTGTAAGTGATAAAAAAGACAAGAGTCAGGTTGTCATATATCTGGATCTGTATAATGTAATCACAATCTTCTGGAAATAAGGACTGAAAGAAACTTAATGTGCTTTAATCTCTGTAGCTTTTATGATTTAGTGTTAGATCTCTACAGATGTAGTTTATTACAGTTGAAACTGGTCGGGAAGCTGGAAGCAACTGGAAGCGGTGCAAGAGTGCAGCTGTAGCCCCAGCAGTATGTCCCCTTCAGCAGCTCCATCCCCCACAGCCACACATTTGGCCAAGTTTCCTTTCAAGCTTGCTTTTCATAAACTTATTCTCAGTCCACCAGGAGAGGATAGACTTCCTTCCCCCATAAACAGGCTGCAGGTTAGAGATAAAGACGGGAGACAGAAAGAGGTGGGAGGAGAGCTCTCTGTTTCTACTCCCTAAGCAGCGGCAGTCACTTGACCTCCATTCACAACACGAAGGGATTGCTGTTCCTACACAGTGATAAGTTTTAAAGGGACAAGATAGTCTTTGTTTCTGTAAGGAGAACAGATGGAGAAGGTACTGATCTGAGGTTTTAAAGGAGCAGAATTTAGGCCTTCTCCACTTCCAGTTCTGGATGGGCATGTTTAAATCTTCATGTCTTTTAAACAGTTTCCTGCTCTGGTTGATGACTATTTTGAGTTGCACTTCTGAAGTTCTTTGCTCTTCTTTAGTAGTCTGAGATACAGGAAGACTTGATGGCTGGCCTCTGGCATTACGTACCAGCATCCTTTGTTGTATCTATTCCTCAACCCTCAAACCAGCCCTGTTCTGCATAAAGCATTATTACTGGCCTATTTCTGAGCGGTGAGAGTTTTCCTGGTCTTACCAACCATTTCTGCAAAAGGCAAATTTTTATTATTATTATTTTTTTTAAAAAACAGGGGCTTTAGAGGTGTGAGGTGGTGTGAAAAGAGGAGGTTTTTCTAGGATTATTTCCCCCATAACCTCCAACCCCAGCAATTACTTTTTCTAGTTAATTGTATAAAATAAACTTTTCAGAATCTCTGAACAATTTTCAGGTTTGCATTGCAGCAAATAGCTGTTAAAAACAACACTGGACCAAAAAACAGTTCTCAGTTTTAAAGAGACCAGTGACTATCTACATTAAAAAAAAATCACATTGATATTGTCCTGGGTGTTTTACAGATAAGCGGAAAAAGCAAACGAAAGGAAGCATCCCACCACATAACCTGGCAAATCAGTGGTAGAAAATGGAACAGTTTTTCAACCTGACAGAAATTTTCTTACTGACAAGCAACATTACTTTAAGTAAGAAGTTTTGAGAATGAGATGGTAATAAAAATTGCTTGCAGTTTCCATGTGAATAAACAGATATTTACATATGTCTCTTTTTATACTAAGTTTCGATCAAACAACAAAGATTGAAAGTTCTCCTGTTTTTCCTTTCCAAGCACCCTGTTCAAATGCAGCCTCTGTTTATCTCCTACTCAGGACCTCTAACCAATTTCTTCTGCCTCCTTAAAATGCACGCCCTTATTTCCTTCAAAACAGAAAGTCATTTCTATGCATCTTCACACAATGTGCTCTCTCTTTCTTCCTTGCCTAGTAGTATAGGTCTTAGTGGAGATTAAAGAAGATTCAAAAAAATGTCAGTGCATTTTTCAACACAAGTATCTTCAAAGCAAAAATACTTCGCATATAACATAAGAAGTCATTCCTAAAACTGTATAGCAAGACAACACTTTTTTTTTTCTTATCAAGAAAGATGCTCCACATGGAAGAGAAACAGAGTAAACATTAGATAAATAGTGGCAGATTAGACATTCAGACTGCAGGAGGAGAACAATCTGGATAAACTGATTAGACAGATTAGACAGATTTAGCTGAAAGGTGAGGAGAGGTGACTCTTCTATCTGCCATAACTGCTAAATATCTGCTAACCTGCAAAAAAAGAATGTCTGTGCATTTTAATGAATCACCCTTGAAATCTCCATGTCTGTCCAGAAAATGACATCCTAAAGCATCAAAATATTCTATCCAGCCTCTGAAAGCCTTTGGATCAGAGATTCTCTTGTAACTAAGTTTTATTTCTCTCTCTTCATCTCTGCAGCTAAGAATTATCATTAGTAGTAGTAGTAAACATATGAATCTCAGTTATGAGCAGGATTTTGTTCTAATGAGTTATGTAGACTATAAATTTAGCATTGCTTTCAGTTAAAGGAAAAGAATAAGCAAGTTGATGCAGAAAGATGAAGAAATACTAGGCACCTACATGTAAAAACATGGAAATTTAACCCTATATGTAATCCTCACTGAGTGCTTGGAAAAAATTAACATGTAATATCTGGACCTATGTCACCTGTTGCCTATTCTCCCAGGTGCACAACACAGCCAAATGGCAATTGGTTTTTTGTAAGTCATATTGCAAAAACTGATTCAGTCAGAGATGGAAATTGAAACTAGGCCATCAATACAGAAAATCTATGCCCTACCCCTTCAGTGGCACTCAGGCTGTATGTGTTATTAGATGCCATTTCCTAAGCTGACAAAGGTAGTTCTAGGCCTTCACACTGAGTGCAGTGAAATAGGATGCTGAAAGATTACCTGTGATAATACACAGTAGACCCAGCTCTGCACCCAGCCCATGAAGCCACTTTGTTACTCTTAAGGTATCTGAAGAATATGGGCAAGAACCAAGGACGTGATGAGGCATTCTGGGTTACAGCTTTATGCATTGCTCAGGTTTATAGACTCAGCACACCCTGGGAAAGGAATGCATCATTGATATTGAGCTCAGCCACATTCAAGGAAGACATGAATAAACCCAAGAATTTACAGTAGTCATATGGCCATTTGTAAGGCATAAGGGAAGAAATTAAAACCATGTTTAAATGGCTTGCTCCAAAATTAACTTTGGAAAGAATGTGAGTAGAGGATGTTTCCCTAAAGCTGGCTGATACACTGCAAATTTTCTGTCTTTAATTTTATTTC